AAATAGCATGCAATTAACCTGAAATGATTGTCTGTCACTGACATAATACAGAAGATTTTCAAGTCTGTTTTCTTTTTTGGATTTGTCAGCTCTGACTTAAACCAGATTATTTTACCTTGCTGCTGTGTTATCAGTGGCAGAAGAGCTGAATAGGAAGACCTTTTAATTTATGTTACAAAAATGTGTTTTCAAACAGTTTTCCACTGTTTCTCGCATATGAACTGATTGATGCAGAGGTTTAGCTACCATATATCTGAGTGTATGTGGAYATCTTTCCTTTTGTCATCTGGAAGTTTCATTATAGAAAATCAGCTGTTTGTCTGAGATTATTTAATGCCTGCCAGTCTTGGGCAAGAAAACCTCCTCAGACTCAGAGAATGAGACTGGACTACACTAAGCTTGTTACTTTTAGATTATGTAGTCTGTCTGGGGCAGACTGCACCTGCTGTGTGTGTCATGCACAGTAGATCTGATATATGTCCCAGTTGTGTCGGGTTTGCTCCTGTACTGCATAGCACGCAGGTATTTGTGGCTGGGGAATCCCAAGTGAGATTCCTGTAAGACTGGGGAAGGTGGTGAAGGCTTTATCATTTGGTGGCAGTAGTTTATTGAATTGTAGGTAGGGAATTGGTTTATAGTAATTATTTTCTGGCACATTAGATCCCAAATTAGACAGCTCTTAAATTTACATCAGTAGCAGAAGCATTGAATTCCGATGTAAACCTTTTAAAGAACTGCCCAGAGCATTTGCTTGTTTGACTTGTTACTAATGACATCTTTAAGAACACCAWTTTTTTTTCTCTCTTTTATTCAAGAGCATAATGATGTAGGGTTCTGTTTGTACCTTTAAAACATTAAAATACTGCTTTGTATTATTAGCTAGTAGCATTATATAGGTATTGCATGTATTTCTGCATTGGCTGTCTCTATTTTTTTACTTGGTTGCAATTTGCTTCCTCTTCAAAGCAAATGAAAAGCAYGGTTAGATTTTTACTTTGTTACTAGTGTTTATTAACTAATTAAATGTTTATGCTCATTATGGTTCCATACACTGTGTGTGTTTACATTACAGAAGACCATTAATATAACATGGCCACCTTTACTAATTGAAAATAAAGAGAAAATCTATAGCTTAATGTCCATTCCTTATATGGAAATGATATTAAGATGTCTCTGCCTCTCAGGGATATTTTGGACAYGCAGAATGTTTGCTATGCATGCTTATGCTGTACTTGCACACACTACAGAGAAGGTTTGAAGAAAAAAATTATTTCATGGGCTTGAATAATCAGAACTAAGCAAAGTTGTTGAAGCATTATATAAAAAAATATGTGAAGCAAAGCAAGACAAGATATTTCCTCTTTACATAATTAGTATTTCATATAATTCTTGGTGAATGATTTAATTGATAGCTAATTAGTACAGTTCAGGAAGTTACCATCATAAACCTGTTGTGTAGCTGGTGTGTGATGACTTGTTACCCCATCTTACTTACTGTCATTCTTGTATCCATGTGATTGAGTTGTTCTGGTAAGGAAAAAAAAAGCTCAGTTTAATTAGATTGGCTCCTTTTTCTACTCTGTCTGACTACAGGCACTTAAAATAGTTTTATGTAATCTTGCTCTTGTTGTTAGAGACTTGATTTTAGATTCTGTTCTGGAATGTCTTGCATATAACACCTATTACTGCGAAGCTGTCTGAACATGACGATATAAACAGATGCTTTAAGGTTTTAATTTGCAGAAAGGTTGGTTTTGATTGCTTAATTTTATGCAATAAGTTGGCCTGAAACAGTTATGAGGTCTCATTTTTTCTTTTTCTTGATTTTCAATGTGTGTTATGCCAATTCTCATCCTGAGAACTGCCRAATTACTGGATGTTATGAAAAGGGACAGTGAAATTCTGAGGTTTTGTGTTGGTACARTCATCTTAAGCAGAAGATGACAAGAGAAGTAAACTGCCCTCGGTGTGGGGTTTTTACCACTATTGTTATGTTTAAAATAGTCTTTCCTGCTAAAAATACTTAATGATCAACAATTCAAGTAGAAGAGTAAATGATCCATTGAGGCAGGGTATGAAGTATTGCACATTAGCCATAGAAGTGAGGAGGATTTATTTTCAAWGATACATAGGTTTCATTAACAGAAAAGGGGGCAATGTTGCCRGAAGGCAAGTGGCAGTGCATATGTTCAGGATGGAAACATGTTTGTGTGGTTTATCTGAACCAAATAATGGGAAATACTCTAGCACAGATTTTTTTTGTCATCCTGTTGTTTCAAAAAGCTTTATATATATATATATATATATATATATATATATATTTGTTTAGCACTTGTCATCTCTTAAAATGAGTATAGTTCATTAATAAGTAATAAAAATTAGTGACACCAATAAAACAGGACCTGTTCACTAAAAGGATTGTGTTTCAGAGAGCAGCAATGATTCAGCAGATTCCTGCTAGAATTTTCTTCTTGATCTTGAGAGACCATGTTTGTCTTGTAGATGAGCAGTGTGTGAACATGGGTTTTGGTTAAAATCGGTCATTAGCTTAGGACTGATTAGCTGTCATAGTGTAATAAGGAAATCAGCAATATGGAAGCAATATTCTAAATTGCTTCCTTTGCTTTGGCTATAGTCAATTCCTAGATAAACAGATTTTAAGAACCTCAATTTTACGTCCTTGAGTCTGTAATAACACAAAGGAGGAAAGGTAGACTATTTATAATTGAAATGTAGAATCTCAAAGAAACAAAGGCCTTGCCTAGCACTTGGATAATATTAAGAGCTAGTTAAACATTTCATCAGCCAGTGTTATGAAACTATTTTGAGGTGTTTTTCATTAGATAAAAACAATTAATATGATGAATTGAYGATATTAATGTGATGAATTGAGCTGTTTGTTTCTGCCTGTAAGATCCGTCTAGACTCTTATTTGATGGCAGGTGTGAACAATTTTGTCATTTTGCTAAAGTCCAGGCAAGTTGTTCATTTATTACTACAACTACTGCAGCAAGAATAAGGTTAGTGCTGTTGAGGAGCTGATTAGTGTTAATTCATGCTACACTCTAAGTGATACTTGTAACAGGATTAAGAAGTGCTGCAGTGGTTTGCTRTGCTGTTCATTTAGTTGCTGCCTTTTAGAGTTTTCTGTAAAAACTGGGTGACTGCACACTGGTCTGAGATTGCTGCTGCARATGGTGACTCTCGGCAGCTGGATGGGGATCATTACTGTATGGGAACAGGAGAAGGTGTCACCAGGGGCACCCAGTTACCCCACGTTAGCAGACAGCAGCTGAGAGCTCAGTACTGTCAATCTGGTGCTTATAATTCACAGTATTGAGGGTTGCTTTGGGATTTTGGCACTTGTAAGTTAAGATTTTAAGATCATCGGGGTGACCTTGCGAAAATCATACTGACTAGTGGCATCAGGTCAGTTTGTAGAWTAGTAATGGTGACAGAAATGCTGTACTTAAGTGGATGCAACAGACCATTTAAGATACTTGGTTTTGTTTAAGCTTTCAAGTGAAGATTTYGGTTCAGGAGGCAGAATGTTGATTTGAAGGTGGAGAAAATGTATATTCAGCCCTAATGGCATCTTTTTGGATATAGGGCTCTGCTGGCGCTGGGGGATTGTGCAGCTGCTTCTTTTCCCTCATTCTTTAGTTCTTCCTGGCTGTGGGCTCCCTGTGCCAGATGATGCTGCCTGGCAAATGACAGGKCTGGCATTCAGGCCACAGAACAGAAAAGTACCAATGCTACTTCTTGAATACAGGAGCTGCAGATGATGGAATAGAATGAAGATGTCTTTCACAGAGCATGYWATGTTGTTTTTTAAGAACAATGTTTGAGTGCCTCTTTCATATTCCAAAGGTGAATAGGCCTGATTTTGTAATGAATGTGAGATTTTGGTACGGAATTAAAAGTAACTTCAGACTTAGTGTGCCCAAAATGAAGTTAAGAGTCTTGAATGCAGTTTTTAGAAGGGTGTAAACCAGAGCCTTCAGGCTTGGCTCTGACTGTAGCATTACCATGTGCAGGTAATAGCTTTGCATAATATTGTGCTTATGTAATAGCAGTTTTACACTTAATGAATATTTTGCGTCAAAAGTCTGGTTGGCTTTCCTGTTCAAGATATAAAAAACAAATCCAAATGTGGAAGAGATATTTTGTAATAAGCTTCAGGGGGAAGAAGGATGAAATAGAATCATAACATTTAAACAAGAAATATAATTTTCCTTCTCCATTACATATAAATATGCTAAGTTAACTATRTTTTTTACTACTGAAGACAATTTGTTTTTCCCTCCTGTTGAGTGCTGCAGACAGATTAGCTTAGTGAAGAGAAAAACACTACTTTCCAACATTAATTTYAGGTTTGGAAAATAAGACTTCTTATATTTTGACCTATTACTTGAAGATGTCTATTCAAACTGCTTTTGAACTTGGATATCACAGCTTTGCAGCTGAAGATAGGGTGGTATTTGTRTACCAGAAGACACTCTCTGGAATCACATTAGGCAGCAGCTAACCAATTCCAGAAGATTAAAAAAAGAGAAAACTAAGTGGA